ATAAAAGCGCACTTTTATCTTTGAAATTCTATAATATGCGTTACATAAAGTATGGTATGTTAGCGTGCTAACATCGTTGTAAGCGCGTTCTGAATATGGGTCTGAGTTTATACTCAGTGTTACTCTCAGCATCGATTAAAATTAACTCCTCCATCTTTTCCGCCATTTTGTGCTGTAGCTGCCTCACCTCGACAGCCGCAGCAGCCACAGTAGGAAATGACGACAACATTAATGACGTCTTTTCCCTCTCGCAGCACTGCCACAGCGTGCTACGATGATTTTTGGAACGGTGTTGGCAGTACTGCCAGCGCTGACAAACAATTTTGGAACACAGCCTATATCGATCGATACATCGATCGCAACGCGCGCGCGAACGCTTCTGATTTGTTCAGGCATCTGACTCAGCCAAAATAGCGGCTGATCAATTACGGCCACGAATTTTCCTCGATGCCTATTTCAGTATTACATAGTTCAGTCAGGGGGCTGCAATAGGCAACGGAATAACGAGTCTTCCAATCAGAGCTGTGGGATATAATATCGAACTTACACATCAGAGCTCTGATTAGACGGCTCGTTATTCCCTGTTGCCTGTGCTTATTGGACGCATTCAGTGAACTCAATAGTTGAGTGAGTGCTCGCTGTTATTGATGTATTCTTTTAACTCATCCAATCAGAATTTTAGATTTAGAAGAATACACCAATAACAGTGAGCGCTCACTCAACTGTTGAGTTCACTGAATGCGCCCATTGACCTCTGTTACAAGGCACGCTTTACGCCGAAGTTATAACATTGATGTTATGAAACTGGCCATTTATAGCTATTCCTCTGAAGAATGGAATGACTGTGATTGGCCAATTTCATAACATCGATGTTATAACTGCGGCGTAAAATATGCTGTGTAAGGGCCATTCTACACAAACTTGCATAATCGCATAAACATATGCATAAAGAAAATCATCCAATTGTAGTTTACGTTTGGTTTTATGACAGAAATGTGATTGGATAATTTTCTTTATGCATATGGTTATGTGGCTCTGCAAGTTTGTGTGGAATGACCGTAAGGGTATGAGCGCAAGGATTGCCGTAACGCCTTTAAGGCCCGTCTACAATACACGGAGTAAGAAGTAAGAGTAAGAAATTGACCAATCACAATCGAATGTGAGAAGAATAATCGACTGTGATTG